CATAATTGGTGTGGTTAGAAGAGGCCTTTGAAGGTCATCCAGTTCAATCCTCCTGCAACGAGCAGGGACATCTTCAACTCAGTGAGGTTGCTCAGAGCATCATCCAACCTGACCTTGGATGTTTCCAGGGATGGGGCCTCTACCACCTCTGGGCAATGTGCCAGTGCCTCACCATCCTCACTGTAAAACATTTCTTCCAAATATCTAATCTGACTCTACCTTCTTTTAGATTAAAAACATTATGCCTTGTCCTACTGCTACCGGCCCTATTCTATTTGCGTTTATACAGTCATATATGCACACATAGACACATTTCATTAGCTTCTTTGGCTCTGTTTGACTGTACAGAATTTGGGATGAAAAAAACTCCAAGCCTGTAATTTCACTGCCAAATTCTCCAAATTTGAACACAAACCATGTTCCTGAGTGCCACATCTACAAATCTTTTAAACATCTCCAGGGATGGTGACAGCCAAATCCCTCAGCAGCCTGTTCCAATGCTTCACAACCTTTTTTGGTGAAGATTTTCCTACTATCCAGTCTAAACCTTTCCTGGCACAACTTGAGGCTGTTTCCCCTTGTCCTGTCACTTTCTACCTGGGAGAAGAGACTGACCCCCACCTTGCTACAACATCCTTTCAGGTGATTGTAGAGAATCATCAGGTATCACCTAAGCCTCCTTTTCTCCAGGCTAAGCAGTCCCAGCTCCCTCAGCTGCTCCTCATCAGACTTGTGCTCCTTTACCAGATTCATTGCCAGATCCTTTACCAGATTCATTGCCCTTCTCTGGACATGCTCCAGTACCTCAATATCTTTCCTGTAGAAAATTCACCAGATGGACACAAAACCATAAGCTTGTAGAAGGCATTTTCAGATGGGATGAGTGAGTTCTGTGCCAGATACGTGTAAGCTGATATGCTCTGAGGTAAGCAAAACAGGGATGAAGAAAATCAAGCCTTTGCCAAAACCTAATACTACAGTTTTCATGCAGACACGTTAACCCGTACTTCCCCGTCTTATTTGTAGGCCAAAATTAATAAATAAGACTATGTTAATTTTCTATTGCCCCTCACAATCAATTTAAAATACAGGAAAAAACACCATTGCACAAAATTTTAGTAAAATTAAGTTTATATTCAGCAGAACACCATCCTATCCTAGTATTTAAGTCACTCCAAATCACTGCCTGTACATTTCTAAATGCTGTGTGCTCAGAGTAGCAAAGCTTTTACAGTTCAAAAGAGCAAGACAGACTTCATAAAAGATTAATATACTTGAAAAGCAGGTCATTTATTAAAAGATTTTTTGAAAGCTTCCTTTCTTAAAGAGCAAAACTATCTGCCCACCTCCGCATCTCATCTGAAAATATTTGCATACACAGCTGTTCTTCAAATTTCAACCCTGTTTTCTTTCCTTGTTTTCATGTTTTAAGACACGAGTAGCAGGTATTTACTGAAACAGTAGCATGCTTCAGCAAGTGCTGCCTTCTTCCATATAGTGATTTATCCTGTCTCCCAGATGCCTAGATACATGGATATCCTCTTCTCATACACAGGGTTGAACTGTTGGACCTTCAGCCCCAGGGCTGCATGAGATGGCAGTCTGGGGACTTCAGCTTCTAAACCTTCTCTTACCACAGCTGAATAGCAGCTGCTGTAAGCAGCACCTGCTTACAATAGCAGGTGAGGACAGGCTTTGCCTCTCCTGCATTTTCCACTGTACTCTTTTTTTATGAGTCTTTTTAGGCATTTGCTTTTGACTGACTGCCTGGGAACTGTGCATGCAGTGCAAGTAGTCTGGATGTCACAGGTGCAAGACACACAGGTACCCTGTTAAAAAACAGCAGAAGGGAAATCAATAAATATTTCTTGGATAGTGGGCCTGTACCGTTCTGTTCAGTGGAAATTATACGACCTTTGCACGCTGCAGTCCTCAAGACAGCATTTTACATGGAGCCAAAAAAATAGCAAGAGATATGGTAGAGCAAAAAATACAGACAACTTTGGACCAAGACATTGACATTTCAAGATATGCTTGACACCCTGTTCTTCACAAGTGTTTTCAGTCGCTACATCTGCCTGAAGAACAACCTCTATCTGTTTCATCTTGCCTGCAAATAGCATGACACCCTGCAAACTTGAAAAATAAGCCATTAACAAGATTACTATCTGTTCAGGATATGGTAGCTCAACTGTAGCCACAGACTTACTCTCTTGGTAACAGGCTGTCATGAATGTGGTGATTATAAAAGACAGAACAAGTTGGGGGAAAGTTGCTTTGGGAGGAGGTTAAGTGAGGAGAACATAACGACCTTGGTCATAAGCTTCAAAGAAAATATGATGAAAAAGCCAGACACCACAAGGGAAGGAACATGCAGAAAGGAAGAAGGAAGCTGGGAAAACTCAGAAAAGGCAAGACACCAAGAAGGTGGAGACGACTTGCTGTGCCAAAAGCAAGAAATAATAGCACAGATACCAGCACTCTAATACTCTTGTCATAAGATCATCATGAAAATTACTTTAAATTTAGAAGAATGACATTTAAGAGACTAGTTTTTTGTTCTCTAAATGACTGGTTTTCTTTTTTTTTTTTTTTTTAAAGTCACTAATTATTACTCAGTTTTGATGGGCAGCCACAACCAAATTCTTACGTGATCAAATGTAAAATATACTTGAAGGCTGTTCATACCTACCAGGGGAAGACAGATGGTGCAGTGTAGGTGTCTCCACTTTAGATTGCACTGCAGCCCAGGGGAGAACATCTGAGTATTTAACAGTAATGTAGTAAGTGTAACAAATGGTAGGCTGCAGCTATTGATCACCATTTGGGCTTTCAGGGAGAAAAATAAAAGGCATTTAGGGGTTAATACTTCTGACTGAAATGTGCTTATTTAGAGGTTCACTTAACAGATGCCATCATCAGGAGATAAAAGTCCTTACACTGAACAGACAATTTTAATGGCCTTTCCATTAAGCTATGGGTGACATATTTCAAAGGGCAGATTATTGGTGTCTTTCTGCTGACAGCAAGGAATGTCAGAATTCAGAATGCCTGAATTCAGAATATCAGTAACTGTTTAAGCCTTGCTAACAAGGATTTTGATATAGAGTTATATTATAATTCAGGACAAAACACCTTGACCAATTTATTCTTCTGTATAGCACATTTATATTCATTGCCAAAATAGGCAATGGACCCTTACTGTTCATAGGAACAAAGCTCCAGATGCTCTTATATTCTAAGCCTAATGTGCTCAGCTACTAGTGTGACACCATTAATCACACAGAACATGAGTTTTATAGCCTTGGAAAAATGGAACCTCCCAGATTTGTTAGACTACTCCGCTTAATAAAGTTTGTTATGAACAAGTGAGCTCTGAATACAACATACTAAATATTATCATCCCATAATCAAAAGATATCAGAAAGACTTTTTAAGGTTTAGTTCCCTTCCTATTCTCCTACAGACTGGAATTATTCAGCTCTGTACTGCAGAGCCCCATTAAGCACTTTGTTTTACATTGAATGACTGGAATCAAGTGCGTATGGCCTCCACGGATGGATAAGCTGCTGCAAAAAGAGGTAAGTCAGCAATACTGATTGGCTCTGTTGTCTGAGTGTGCCTTTTGATTTTTGAATTACTGCCAAAAGCATCATCATTTTGTGTTTACCCTTCAAAAGCCCTCGGTCACTCAGATGGTGCATACGCTCACAGCAGAACGCACTCCCTTGCAGAAACAGTATTCAGAAAAAAGAGACAATTTCAGTACTTGAATTTGCTGAATGTAAATTTGTGGCACAGATCCTCTATCTCTCATCTTTCATGACATTGTTACTATACAATATGAAGTGATTAAAAGACCAGTTTTACTTTGATGCCCATCTCTTTCACTCAGACAAATGGTTTATCTCTGTGCAAAGCTGTATGTAGCTTTCAAAGTGTACTTGGCCACATCATTTTACAATCCCTTCCCCTCCCTGGCAAGTCAAAGTAACAGAACCACCATAAACCTCTGTGGTGGTTTCTTTTGTGTGCGTGAGTGGGAATTCATATTAATCACTGAAGACATAGTGCATTTTTCTTCACTGCTATAGCCAGGACTGCCAGCACCAGGCTCAGTACTGGCTTTCACAGGACACCACAGACTTGAATCCCCCTCCAGAGCTGCAACAAAAGCTGTTGCGTAGCTGTGAACACCTGCTGTGCACTTTGTACCTGAGTAAATGCCTGCTGGACACAGCAGGAACATGACCAGAACAGATCCCTGATGAAGCATTTGAGTTGGTTACAACTCTCCATGAATACAACATTAGCACTTGGGAATCTCCTAAGGCAGATACAAATAACGGACTCTCTCGACATGACAGGATTACCTGTCTGCAAAGGCAAAATAGTTATTCCCATTTGAATACAAAAACAGATCAGACACCAATGATTTGGGTTTTACACAAATGTACAGGCAATAGCGAGAACGTAAATAAATCAATCCTGTCTGCATAAATGGTAACAAAGTGACAAATAAAGGCAATTTTTACCTCCTTGTTCAAAGCCTTGTGAACATTTTGCAATCCTATTATTTCTATTATTGCACTCTCACCGGACTTGCAAGTTCAGTTGACTGTGAAGGTCCTGTAAAGTCTGTAGGTTCTCCGAAGTCTTATTTGTGTGAACATTGTAAAAAGCAGCGATAGCAGAGGCAGAGCCTGTGCTGTTTCAAAGGTGCTGCCTAAGATCTCAGGTGAGGAAATGCTCTCTTACAGACAGCTCACAAGCCTAAACCCTTTGTGGATTAAAAGGAAATTAATTTGATTTTTCAAGAGCCTATGGCTTCCCAACAAACCTTGGGAAACCACTTCAGAATAGTAGGATATGCTCTAATCCATTTTCTAGTTATAAAGGCTTCTTTATTTCTGTTTTTGGCTGATAACACTTGAGATAGCGTGTTTCTCATCATTCTTAAAACACTTGAGAGAGGACAATGTGAGTGCATTTTTTATTTTGGTTTTAACTTCTTTATTTCATTGTTGTACAGCTGCATTACACTTGGCTTTAATCCCTTAAGCATTATTTTCCTTGGCAAAATAGTCACTGAACTGAGTAGAACTTACTATTGGAAAAATATGCTTGAAAAACCAGTGTGATGTCAATGCCAACTGAAACCCATGGAGCTTGAAATGTCACAAATGTGCCTGTAGCTGAAATACAGAGCTCCTCATTTTTTTTGTCCAAGCTAGGAATGTTGTAAGTCTTAGGTTGTGAAGTCAACTGTAAAAATCATAGAATAGCCTCCTGAAACTGAATGTGTGCTTCCCCCCTTCATGAACAATCCTTTGGAGAACACTTATTTAAAACTGGATGTGGGATAATTCCATAGGCAACAAACGACTACATGGCTCCACTTCCAGTCTTGCCTGCATTAACTGTAGCTGTAAGAAGTTGGGCTACAGGCTTCTTAGAGAAAAGATAGAACCCGACTTTGTAAAATATCTTTAATATTCAAATATATAAATAAGCACTACTGAAGAATAATTCAGAAGACTGCAGTGATTCATTATGAACAGATGCTATAAATGGGAACAGTAACATTGCTAGGTAAGGAAGAAGCAAGCTATTTTAGGAGTCTTGAAAACCTCTTCTAGTTCTTCAGACAGATCATGCTGCTATAGTTATTTTATAAAAAATTATATTCTGAAAAGCACTTTAGTAAAAGAAACCTTTTACTGGAACTATTATTTAACCAAGACCTTCTACAGCACTAAAAGACACTGCAATTGAGTTCCTGATATAGTTTTAAGAATGGAAGGGGTCAAAAAAAGAACAAAAAACCTACCATACCTGCACCAGGAGCTATTTATTAGCATAACACTCTTCCTTTTAAAGATTTCGTAACTAAAGTATATACAAAGTCTTACAGCATTTACACAATAAAAAAGTTTCCTATTAGCTGATGTAGTATAAGGTAGTGCTGCAATTTACTTCAAAGCATGTATACAATAATAATGAAGCGACCACTGTACTTTCAACTTCTCGACTACCACACCACCACTGTCAGTTGAAATGACAGTTCATTAAACCACTGGGAAGACACAGATTGTCAAAAGATTTGTAACAGGTTGATCTGCAGCACTAACCATGTTAAAGAGGTAAAAAAAAAAAAAAAAAGAAAAAGCTACATACTGTCATGTTTCTACACTTTCCTAGAGCTGTAACAAACCCTCACAGCCTTAGATATAACATATGTAAGACAACATAATCACATTTTTTCAGATATAGTTCAGCTACTGAGTGTATTTACTTCTGAATAGGAGGCGTTATATTGATATGGCTGTGTGTTTCCATTTTTGTTCATTAACTGTTCAAATAGGTCTACAAAAAAAATTAAAAGACAGCATGGAGTTTGTAGTCATGATGTGTTTTGACTAATAAAGGCATTCAATATCAGCTATAGGATCTAATTATTCCTGTCAAAAGTTTAAGACCAGGAATCTTTGAGTAAAAATTAAACCCACAAAATCCCACACCTGCGCCGTCTGTTCACTCTGACCTTCTTTAAGCTTTTCCAACAGGGATAATACAAAATCATTAAAAATGCTTCCACCAACCCAAATGCAAGACTCATTTAGTTTATGAGAGGTCAAGAAGATTCACTAGACTATTTCTGCTGTAAAACGGAGGGAGCTTATCTAGAAAAAAGAAACCTTTACAGAATAGTGCTTTACTACAAGTAGGGATATATAGTTTAACAATGATACATAATTTAAGAACATAGCATTCTTTGCCTTTTAGAAACAGCTTTCATGTGCCAATAATGCACTTTCTACAAGAGATAAGGCTGCTGTGCCTATCGTCATATGCCTAAACCTCTTTTTTCTGGCCAATTTTGCTTTTCTTCCCCCCTCAAAGGGATTCTGTTTCAACTTAGAAACTAGTAACATCAGTTGACAATATCCGTATTAAGACAGCAAGTGACATATATAAAATCCACAAGGAACCACATAAATACCAAAGAAGTCATATAACCTTTCCATGTAAACACTTTGATTATACTGAAGCCCTAATCAGATTCTTGTCTTAAACTTTTGGCAGTTAATGTGTATGCTCAGCCAGGCTTTGTAGTTAGTTATTGTTCAAGTGGAAGCCAGGTCAGCTCACATGTTGACAGGCATGCAACTTGGAAACATTGCACAACAAGCAACACAAAGAGATTTGAGAAGGGTACAAGACTTCAAGTAGACTTCACAACCCTTCACAAACTGAATATTCACAGACAAAGATACAGTCCTTGTTTTTTCTATGGTGGATTTCTCTCTCACACATGGGACACTTTCTGTGACTCTCTAGCTTGCTTGATGCTATATAACCACTTGATGATTCTGGCATTCCTTTCAATGGCTGAAATGCCATATGGCACACGGTCATTGGCACTGTCATCATTTCTAAGGTCACTGTTGCTGTCCTGAGACTGTTCACAATCTGAGCTAATCATGCTTGCACTGCGAAAGTTGAGGGATATAATATCAGAGTTAGCCCTTGCAAAGTTTTCCATCCCGAGGTTTTCAAGCTCTTCAGGATCCAGTCCGCAGTAGTTAAAGAATCGTTCCACATCTGCGTCGACGCGAAAGTATCGGTCACTTAAGTCTGATTTTGATCGCTGTAGGGAGGGTCTTCTACTAACTCCGCATCCAGACTCGACTGCCTCAATCTCTGGGGATTTCAGGGTGGCAATGGCAGCGATTTTGGGCTTTGGAGGCAGAGGTGGGGCGGAACTACTGCAGGGTATTGCTTTTAAGGGCTTTGCGCTAGTTACTTTCCTAATATCCGAAGAGCTGTGAGAGACATGCAAGAAAGTCTCTGCCGATTGATCTAGGAGCCTTCTGCTGACGTTGGAGCTGCTCTCCTGTGGGCTGCTACGACCCTGCGTGGGGTAAACCTTCAAAGATTCGGCAAATGAGTGTCGGTTCAGCTCTGTAGAATCAGCTCTGTGGGGTGGCCAATTTCGGGGACCGTGCTTATGCCCTGAACCTGAGCTGGAGCCTTCAGAGCTGTTGATGATGTTCTTCAAAATCTCAAGTTTCAGATTTTCCCTCTGGACGCCACTCTCAGTCTTTGCGTTGTTGCTGAAGACTTTCAAGGTGGGGCTTCCCAGTGCTCTCTTGGCCGCAGGACAGACCGGTGGCTTCGCCAGCACCGCCGGCTTCACAGGCTCCTGCTTGGCATTGATGACCTCCTGGCTCTTGACATATTTTGCCTTGTCGGCTTCTAGCCTCTCCACTGCGCTCAGTCTTTTTGGATTAGGCTCCGCCTGCCTGCGAAAATAGTCAGGTCCTTTGTTCAGGATGCGGAGAGGAACGGCGGATGTGAAAGTCACGGCAGGGCTGACCGGCTTCACCATGCTACCTGTCGGTAATGTTTCTGTAGGCATGTTTGGTGGTCTTTCCCCCGCAGCCGTTTTGGATTCTTCTCTGGGATCTCCTAAATGCACGGTGCAGAAACATGTACATTAAGCACAATGAATAGCCGATGAATCCTGGGATCTGAGCGTTAGCAGCAGTGCCTCATCTCACAGCTCATTAAATAACACTGCGTTTCTCTTTTAAAGGCAGCCTTTGTAGGGCAAGGGCACCCGACACAAGTCCGTATTAGTCTGCTCCGCTGACTCCTTTCTTCTCGCTGAAAGATGTGGGAGTCTCGCCGTTCCCTTTGCGCTCCGCTACCGGCAGCGATCTGAAATGCAGAATAACCAACCACACGTTAGTGAGAGTGCCTGACATCAGAACGATAGCAACAGCCGCCTCCCGGCCCTCCTCTTCCACCGCTGGATGGGATGTGCTGCTGGCGCACAGCGGAGGCACAGTGCTCAGGCTGCCCATGCCCTGCTCCCCTGAGCATCTTACAAGACATGTATTGCTTCATGTTTACACTCTGATTTAACAAAATTACATTGTAAAATAATAAAAAAAAATATTAAAAATTAGACCCTACCACAATACAGCCATACATTTCTAGAGGGAGAAAGGGAAGAAAAATGTGACAATTCGGAGACTTAGACCCATTTATCTCCTGACGATCTGTGAAAGAGCACTTTCAAACTAATATATTCGGCTTTGATAAGTTGGTTTGTGAGCCTATTTTATCTCTAAAACCCAAACATTTTTCTCCTTACAGACAACATACCCTATAAATCTCAGAAATGAATTGTATTTTCCCTATTCATTAAATGCTTCAGAAAACTGTCTGGTCTAAAATGCAGAGAGCAAACAGAGACACGTAACGTTTTAAGTGCAATGCACACCTTTCATCATTAATCTAATATAAAATCAACAACTAAAAACCAGGACATGCTCCTACAGCCACCAACGCCAGTTCAAAGTCTGTTTGAACATCAGTCCCCATAGCACCGGTGCTCCAGCAACAAAATAAGGCTTTTCAAGTTCTCATGATCACCTTACAGGCTTAACAGAACAACACAAAACTGCTTTGTTTTTTGATGAAAGATTCTGGGAACGTGCAAAAACACTCTGTCTGCATTCGAAAAAAAAGAACTTGTCTTCAACATTTAGATTTAATCATTCAAGTTTTCTACCAAGCAGTAAGTACAAATGAAGATTACCTTCATCTAAATTATTTTAAGATTCTATCACTTAGATTGTCACAACAGTCTAAAATCCAACACCATGGATGACATTACAAGTGCTGAAACAATTTTCCCTCCACAAGGCACTGAAGGGCACTTATCACAGAATCTACTTTTCAAGCAGTGATTTCGCTAATGGGTCTCATTTGTTTTATTATTGCCCCACTAATCTATGTTGCCCTTTTTAATATCCCATTTCTATTATCACTATGTTCTTCAGGGAGAGAAAGAAAAGCAGCTGCTACTTCTTTACTCTATCCTAAGGAATGCAGAGCAGCATCCTTACCTGGGATGACTTGCTTTCATGTGCCCTGCCATCCTGTGTGTGCTCATCCATCAATACCCAACTTACTAATATAGTGTGTACATTGTTTTGACCAAAAGAAAAAAAAAACACCAAAAAATTTAAATTCCAGCTAAAGCTACATTAACAGTTAAAAGAAAACAAGTACTGATGCCCAGAAATCTATGATATATACATTGAATATTCTCTCTGTATCATCCAAGGTCAAAGCAAGCAAACAGAATACACAAATGCTATAATGAGATTATAGGAAAAAGCTGAGCTTTCTCCTGAAGGCTCACTGTCACAAACATTCTTCAAATACAAACTAACACATTTAGGTGGGTGATAAACCAGACACGGATTCAGTGCAATTGAAAGGGTAGTGAAATGTTAATTAAGCTTCCCTTTCAATGTCGTTTTTATAAATCCTAGTGCTAACTCCTCGGCAGTTTGACTTCCTGAATTTTAACTAAGTCTTTCTGAAAGAGAAAAAGCTTCCTTTCCTCATTTGAATCAACATATTTATTAGTACTGTTTTGAAATTAGGTATGAAATTTCCAAATCCGCTCAAGGCAATTCCAACATGCATCTGCACACACACATTTCTCTTCTGTACACACAAATCAAATCTTTCCACGTCACCAGCTCAGAGCTTGATGGCTAAGTGCCTATATAAATACTCTATTGGTGTGTATATTTAGTATTTCTACACTTGTGTGCAGAAATCAAATCTACATGAGAGCAGGGAGGAAGAAAACCCCATAAACAACCCAATTCTCTGTACTAAACACTGTCACTCAACTGAGTTAATACAACTTGAATAAGTGAGACCACTTTCCTGATGACTGTCATTAAGGGCCACCAAGGTCCTGCCCCAGAGGACAGCTGCCAACTCCATTATCCTCCTGGCGAGCAGCTCCACACACCACTACGGATCGGATCGTAGCTGGGTGAAACCAAGGCACCGGGCCTGGAGCTGCTTTTGGAAGTCTTTTCCCAGCATTTAACAATTTCCTCGCTCTCGATAGCCCTGTTTAATTCCAGCAAGCATTGCTTAGAAGGCTAAGCATCCATGTTGGCTTCAACACCACACTTAAAAGGAAAAAAAAGAAGAAAAACAAACCCCACTGTGCATGCATGTTCATCCAAGAGAACAAGTGTGCTTCTTTGCAAGCACGTATGGGGTCAAGTGCCCCGAAGTCAATGGAAATAGGCTGCAACTGGCAATGTGCTCCAGGAATGTCTAGAAAGAAAAGCAAAGACCTTTTGAGGAGCCAGGACAGAAATGTCCACCTGAGCCAGCACAGGGAGCCTGGGGTTACATGGCCAGACATGGAAGCTTTGTACCTGTGGGGCTGGTGGTATAAATGAAAGAACATGCAGCTATGAAAAGGGATTAACTTTTTGTGTATTGTTTAAATTGATCCATTTCACTGAAGTGCTGTATTTGAATGTCACCAGAAAGTTTATTCAGTACTCTAATCTCAGAGAGATAAAGATTATTAATCAGGTACAGTTAGAAAAGGAAGCAGGATGAAAGAGAGGTGGATGAATGCAAATTGCTAATGAAAAAACTTCTCCTGCCTGTGCTGACTGCAGCATGATTCTGCTGCTAGCTAGGAAAGTCAGTTCAACTCCTACCAGCCTCTTTGCTGTCCATGGGTACCTGAAACACCACAGTGACATTAGAGAGGCTTGCTACTTATTAATTTCATTGGTAACGATAAAGGCTGAGCAGCAGCAGTACAGTGTAGTCTCAGGAATACAAAACTGTGCCACTTAGTTTCCAGTTGTGAAAATCATCACTGGAGCAAGAGGGGTATAGAAATGGCTTTCTTCTGGCTTAAACACCAAAGAAACTCACTGCTTAGGCATCTGAATTCCCTGTTGGGTACATCTCTGGTACCAGTATTGTCCTGCAGAAATTCAAAGGCAAATAGGTTTTCTTCACCCACTGCCACTGTGTGAAATATACCTAGGGACCCAAGAAATGTTCCTTTTACTCTGTTTACATCCAAATGTCTGCTCTGTAGCTGTCATCCTTCTGTGGACTGAATTGTGTTTTTCAGGATTCACTCTGCATTTCCATTATTGCTCTTCCTTATAGGAACTACTTGACTTAAGAGATTATTTAAAGAAAAACGAAGACAAAAAACTTATGCACACATTCAAACATAGTTCTTTTTAATACTATGCATACATTAATAAAATCTTTCTGACAGTTCTGACTAACTGAGCTCATCTAGCATCCATTGAAGACCTGCAGAGTAGAATAAAAACAAAGTTTTAGGGTTTTAAAGCTGCATTTTCAGCCAGACAATTCAATTCAGGAATCATTTGCGATAGGGGCAGAGATTCAAAGCACTTAATTTTAGCACATTCTAGGTATTGTGCTCTAATCACTCTTAAGTCCATAATATGTTCGTCAGATATTCATATTTAAATAACCGATGCACTATCTACATGATTTAGGAGAACATAACAGAGCCTACAGCAGTAGTAGCTATACAACTAACATTAGCTACAAATAAGTCCTCTATAAAATATTCTTTCCTTGATTTAAAGCCAAGACAGCAGGAGGAGATAAACTATGCAGAAACTTTGAAATTACAGGTCCATATATTCTAAATATGCAGTTTCTTAAAATGTACAAGAAATTTATGAGCTGACCCCATTCCGGCAAATATTTATTTCTAGCAGTATTATGAATGCAATATTATTGTACAATAACTGAGTTTATTTTTTCTCCCATACCTAAAACTGCATTCTAAACACAGACTGAATGATGTTAACCCGCTTCCCTCCCCTGTTCTGTGCCCTGTTGCTCCTACACATCGGTCAAGTTTCAGCCAGTCTTTCCCTAAAAGCATCCATAGAAGAGCACTACTGCTATTTCGACAGTATTAAAGTTGCAAAAACAGCAGCAAAAAGCAACATGAAAATGAAACTAGTGAAATTTCTGTCCTTGGCCTCGGCGAGGACATAGCTTCACCTGACAAAGTTACAATGAACCTCGTATTCTTAATTCATCCCTCTGGAACAGCAGATGAAAGAACTGTACAAGAGATAGGGTAAAGCACAGTGGATAAATATAATGAAGGCTGACAGCCTTTACTCTGGTTTCCTTGATATTTGAAGGCCTGTGTCAATTTTATTTTCCAGGTGATAAAATATAACTACCACTACCTCAAGATGCACCATAAACATCACATAAATTCCAACATAAGCAATCAAGAAGTGATTGCAAAAGGACTCAAAGAGATCACAAAACAAAATTTGCTCAGGAACATGGGACACAGATGGAAAATGTCAGGCTCTCCTAACAACTAGGTGCACTTCAGAGGTGCAGGTCCCATTATGAAGATGCCAGTTTCTTAACAGTCACTGAAAAGCCTCTAAATGAGGGCATCACTGAGCTACTGGTCTAGGCACTAGGTTATACTAATGTGTATGCCTAAAATTGATACAAGTTCTTCTGTGGATAATTCTCATTGTAAACCTCACATATATATGTTAGTAAGCTTAAAAATACAGGCAAAGCCCAAGTAAACTTGGCTGAAACTGATATGAGGTTATCCATATCCAGAATGGCAGCAATATTTCATTTTTGAAGCCAATTTTAGATAAAGATGTGTATAGTGTGTAGACTTGGTCTCACATATTAACTGTCAAGATAAAGCATGAGGAGATGAAATAGTCTTTCAGATCTATCATGACTCAAAATACTAATGAAAGTGCCTATTTTCAACTCTGTTCCCCCCTAAAACATGAAACAGTGAACAGTCAGTGAAGAGCAATATCTAT